TTTTCTACAATATGTCAATATTTTGATGCATGTCTTTTTGGTCTTTCTGTGGCTTTGGAGGTATATTTTTAGTAGCTAGACAGGTTTTAAATAATATGGACGTGAAGTGGTTTAATTGACTGCCTTGTGTGTATTTGAGTTTTTAAAAAAGTTTGTAATGAAGTAATTATAAAGATTTTTCCTTGCAACACCAGTGTTGATAGATTCTTTTTGGTGCAGGTGCTAGAACTCAGGACCCTGTGCATACTGAGCTCACCCTCTGAGTCTGAGCTCAGCCCAGCCCAGTCTTGCTGATAGCTCTTTGTATGTTTATCTCTGTTGCTAAGGGCCTTGGCAGTGGTCCCAGTCGTCATTTCCATGGGTTTGAGGGGTGGGTACCATGTTAGAAACCCTCAGCTCTCACTCTCCTGCCTGGCCCTTAGGTTGGGGGTCAGGTTAGGGGATTGAGATGACCCAGTTGTGGGAACCTGGATGTGATCCGGAACGGGTGACCACGTTGCTGAGATGGAACTATGTGTCAGTTCTTTTTGGTAGAGAACTTGAATAGAACCTGGTGAAAGAGGAATCAGAAGGTCACTAGCACCCTGCCGTTTTCTTTTTTTTTGAGAGGGAAGTAGTGTCAAAGCATGTGGGTTTCTGAAGTGCATGTGGTAGAAGACAGATTTTGTTCCAACAGCACACCTTCGATTTCTGCAATCTTTTGCAGTCTGTTGAGTACTTGAACTTGGTAGTCGGAGAGCACATCTCGGCCGGGGTCATGTGAAAGTGTTAGAGAGGACTTGGGCTTTACTCCACCTCCTAGTGCCTGGCTTATGTGCTTAATAATGTCACTAAGCCAGAGTTGCTCCGATGTCAGTGAGAATAATAATTCCTACATCAGAATTTGTCACAGGAGTTAAATGATAAATCATGGGTGTCACTCGAAGAAGTATTCTAGTTATTCTTTGCTCTTCATCCTCATCTTGTCATCTCTACAAGGTTAGGGCAACCCTTCATACTTGACTTTGCATTGCTGATTTCTGGGCCCTGGCCCCAGAGTTTGTGATTTATTGTTTCTGGGAAGAGCCTGGAATTTGCATTTCTATCAAATTCCCAGGTTATGCCAGTGCTGTTGGCCACACTTTGAGAATCAGGCATTATGAACAATTATTATTGTGAACCAGGAAATTATATCTTTTTAAAAGAATCACTTCAGTGTTCAACATTTAAGATGGTCAAACTTGAAATCATATCGTGGTTAAACTTGATATCAATGCAGTCCCGTTTTACAAAAGCAGTTATATTAGAGCTGTTTTGGGTTATTAAAGGGATTCAGAGCTAGAATTGCCTGATTACTTAGGGCTATAATGATTTAGATGTTTTGGTAAGGTTTTTATAGTATTTAAGTATATGCATTAGTATATTAGCTAAATTTTGGTGGAAGTTATTAAATACAAGTTCTTTTCCTTGAATATGACTCTGCATATGTTTCTAATGGACCCAGATTACTTAAAGTTTAGCCCCCCCCAGCCCTGAATTAAAAAGAAATAATCAGACTGTGAAGTATAGTTAGTTTTTAGCACACCTTTTACTGACAGCATTTCTACCAGATGGAATTGTCAACTTAAGTATCGTGAGTGGCCAGTGTTCTGCCATCGTGTGTGAGGATTAAGCTTTATTCATATAATTTTCTTGATGACAATACAAATCGTTCATCCCAGGGGCAGACAGTGAATACTTGGTGTTGACACACTTAATTTACTACTATTTCCACAAAGTGATTAAATTGACTGTTAATTGGCCTTCTAATAAACTTCTGCTTAATGCAAATGAGAAAACAATGCATCCTAGGGTACTCACTGCCCTTTCTGAAATAATTCACATGTCCTAAGGTGTCATTAGTGACAATGTGCATATACACTTTTCTCTGGAATGTAATTAGAGTTCTTTTAAATAAAACGACTAAAATTTATCAATTTAATTTAAAATTATTTTTGACAAAATCTAACTTACAACTTGCTGTTGGGTTGTTGCTCTTTCTCAGCGGTTTGGAAATCAGAGAGAAGCTTGTGTCAGTCTTTGCCAGTCTTTGGCTTCCCTCTTGGTGGCCCTGTCTGGGAACAGGCTCACATGGGACACCGAGCGTCTCAGTCAGAAACTCGTGTCACTTGGTGGCTTCAACAAGCATGCATGCTGAACAGGAAGCAGGTTGTTGTCTTTTCCCTTTTTTTTTAAACTTTCTTTACTTTTTCTAGTTATCCCCCTCTCATCTATCAGTTTACATTTTAAGGTTTTTGTATTTCATGTTTGATGAGAGAAGAGTTGTCTCATCATTAATGTGTGAAAGTGGTGAAGTCTAAACAGAAATTCTGAAAAGCTGTTTATTTGCAATGTATACATCACATGAATTTATCACTTTCTGGCAAAAGATACACAAACAATGACAGCCTTCCCCACTTCTTAAAACTTGTGACAAAATGCTTTACTCTTTTCAGTCTCATAGTTCTCTGTATTGAGAATCCATGATTTTTAGGTAGGAAAAAATGTTTATAAGAAAGTTTTAACGGTACCCACAGAGAACCTATTCTTATTTACTTTTTAAAATGTTAGCAGATGTGGGCTGGGGATTTAGCTCAGTGGTTCCTGTGCCTGCCGTGCAAGCACAAGGTCCTGAGTTTGATCCTCGGTATCCCCCCCCCCCCCCCAAATGTTAGCAGATGCTACTTAGGTAATCCACAGCTTCCTATGTTCGGGGGAGAGAAGTAGAGGGTTGATAAATAGCCTTTAAAAATCTGTCTGTGTCCTGTCTCTCATCCTCTTCGGATGACACTTGGGCTGGGTCACAGTTTAGTGTGTGGCCGAGACAGGCTCTGCCTGAGCGTCTTGTAGCCTCCCTGACCTGGTGCAGCTGCATACAGTACACCCTCCCCCAGTTGTGACAGTGAATGTCTCTCCAAATATTGCCATTGTCCCCTGGGGACAGAATTGCCCCTCATTGAGAGCCCCTGCCCTAACCTGAGATGATAAACACATTTCACCAAACAGCCCACTGGGCACACCCCCCATCAGCCTTAGTGTTTGTCATCTACATTGACATTTTCTATTGTATTTTGTTTCATGTCGTTCATTCCATACCATTTTATTTAACAAATAAGGGTATTTTTCTGGGTGTGGGGATCGCCATAGCACTTGGGATTCACGTAAAATCACTGTGGGGAAAGGATGAACTGTTTTCACCATCTGGGTTTCTTTGATGAGGCACACGGGGATGGCAGACTATCACTTCCTGTGAGTGCACGGGTGGTGGTGATTCTGAAAAGTAGCTGCAGTGAGGCACCAGCATTGGTGGGTGGCTGCCATGTGACGCACAGACAGTCAGCAGTGTGGGAGAAACAGGCAGCTGCCTCTGCTGGGAAGGTGAGGTGACAGTGTCACCCTGAGAGGTCCTGCCTTCTTGGGCTTCCATGTCTGTTCAAGATTCGGGTCAAAGGTTTCCCATGGATCCAGAATTTCTATGTTCATAGGATGAGAGAATTTTGTTGTTCCTTTAGGAATATAGATTAGGTTGCAGTGCAGATGGCTTTGGAATCTTATATTACAGATCAGAGAGATTTAAATTTTCATTTTTCTGAAGGAAGCATTTATGGTGTTAGATGCTTAGGCATTGGAAGTCCTTGCCTTCTCTTTGCATTTGTGTTTCTCACACAAATACCAACAGTGAAATACCAATTATACTGCAGTTATGTACAGGGTAAAAGGTTCTCCTTAGGCAATAAATAAGAAATTTTCCAAATGCTTTATAAAATAGCATGTTAGAAAAAACTTAAAAACTTCTAAAAATTGCATCCACATTCTATATTGGTATTTTCTTTTCTTGATGTGTGTATTTTCAATACATCTTTAATGGGATGTTTTGCTACTTAATTTTTCCAGTGGATTTTGGCCTTTGCTTTTAAAGTTTTATCTCTATCTCAATTTTTAGACTTAAGACTTTGATGATCGAGTTGTTAGAATGACTTTTAAGCTTGATGTCTCCAGTGCAGCAGTGGGGTCATGATCTGAAGTCAGTTGTTTAGAGCTGTTATTTTTCCACAGGAACAATATGGCAAGTAACAATTTCAGACTGAACCAAACAACTTATTTAAATCAGAAGTAAAAGGATGTATTATAAAGTTCTATCTTTTTACCAGTCCTGGGCTCGTCTTTTCTTTTATTCCGCCCGTGAATTTCCGTGCTGTTTGGCAGTTCTGCTTACCTTGCAGGGTGTGAGATACAGGGTGTCGGTACGCAGTGTGCTCGGGAGTCCCCTTCAGTAAATTTAGTGCCTGGACCTACAGTGTGCAAGGCGTGTGCCTGCCTGGGGTGCAGCAGCGGGTAACGCTGACCGTGCTGGTGCCTGGGAGAGGTAGGAGGCCAGCGCCGGCTGCGCGCTGGTGCGAAGCTGTGGGAAGGAGCGCATAACCCCAGCGCTTCTGCTTGGGGCCTTTGGTTCCAACTCCTGCGCCACCTGTGGGGTCCAGGACTCTTCCTGTAAACAGTCAGATCCTGAGGGCTTGTGCTTGCTTTCTAAAGAGCCCGACACTGCTGCACTGGCAGATGTGTAATGACCACCGCGGGCGAAGGGGCATAAACTACTCTACCACCCTGGCTGCTGCCCTCTGGGTGTGGAGGGTCCCCGCTGCCCACATGAAGGCTCGGTCCCCAACGTGGGCCCGTGGGCCAGGGTGGAAGCTTTAGGAGTGAGGCCGAGGGCAGTATCTTCAGGTCATCGGGAAGGTGCCCTTCCATGCTGCCTTCACTTCCCAGCCCCGAGCGGGGAGCGGCTCTGCTCTGCCTACACAGGGCAGGAGCAGGGAGCCCAGCTGACTGGGACGGAAACCCCTGAAACCGTCAGCCAGCGCAAACCCTTTCTCTTCACGAGCTGCCATCTCAGGTGCTTGTTACAGTAGTGGGCTGTACAGAGCCGGTGCCTGTTCCCGAGTGTGGAAGTGGGTGCACAGCGCCACGCACTATTCTGTGATATTTCTGCTGTACAGACTCAGTAGACATAAATCAATGCAAGACCATATGTGCAAGTAAAATGCAGGGGAGTAATAAGGAAGTGACGAGTGCTAAGTGTTTCTCAACTTTATTAATTAAATTGTAAATATAGAGTTTAATTTTTAATGGACGCGTTAATAACTTGCAAAATTCCCTCACCTCAAATTGCTATGCCAGATGTCAGAATGCAGAGGTGTTCAGATTTCGGAAAGAATAGAGTGAGCATCAAGATATAACCCCTCCTGGACGTCTGGGGAAGAGCATGTGTTCGAACATGAATATTTACCAGGGAAGTAAACATGAATAATCCTGTGTCCGTTTGGGCTTGGTTTTGCCACCACTTGTACGTCTTACACCAGGAAGAGAGGTGTGGCTTTTGGAGATGTTTGATTTTGAGGTTGAGGCTAAGGCCGTGAAGGCGAACCTGTTAAAGACTGGGTGTCCCAAACCCATTATCTATCCCAACACAAGCGCCAGTGCTGCAGTGAAACCTGAATGCTGCGGTTTTAGTTTGGAGGCCTCACGCTGCCTCCTGCCTGCTCCTCCCGCACCACTCCCCCCGTGACGCCCTGCTCCTTCACCTGTCCTGCTGCGGCTTTCTGCCGGCCCCAGCTGACCCTCTGCCCCACCTCCACTCTGTCTGTCCCACTCCGTTCTCCGCAAAGCTCTGGCGCTGCCCTTCCCACTGGGGCGCCACGTGAACTGCCCACTGCCGTGACCAGACACCACGGTCAGCTTGCGAACCGGCTTCTGTGTCTTTCTAAAGCCTCTGTCCCCCAGCTCTGCCACTGGGACAGCTTCAGCTGGGTTCTCAGCAGTGTTAGCGTCTCTTCCTACTCCTGCCGTGTCCTCGCATCGGCGAGAGCATATCTCAAGGTCCAGCTGGCCGTGGCAGCCACGATATGGCCGTAGGAGCGGACAGGGATGGGAGGGCCTCAGCTTGTCCCTCTCACAGTGACCGTCTGTGCTGGGTGCTCCGATTCCTTTATTCTTGCATGGCTTTTCAGGCTGCAAGGAAATATTTGACATTAGAAACTGTGACAACAATTTCAGGGTTTTTCCGTTAGTGTTATCTATTTATGAGTGAGAAGCTAATGAGGAAACGTATTTTAATCACATTATAGGGAGGTCTGATTCAGCCTTAGACTTTTCTCAGTGGAAAATATATATAAAGATCTCATAACCTTGTGCTGTTTTCTACTTTGTTCACTTATTACACTTAGACTGAGGTGTTGCAGTTTGCGAGGTGACTTTTCTCATCATTTGCCACTTGCCTAAGTGTCTCCACTGTCTGACAGTCTTGAATCAGGTCCCTTTTTAGGTGGTGGCAATCTATAAGCAATGTTCTTTGCCCAAAAGAAAAGGCAACAGCCTATTAATGGTTTGTTTATATGGGGTTTGTTTTTATTTTTAGATAATTTTGATGTTAATTGTTTAATCAGAATTGTGTTTAATAATAAACACAAAGTTGGCCAGTTTTTTCATTTCTATTTTCTTTCCTTTTAGGTTAGTATTTAAAGGCATAGAACATTAAAAACGGCTTAGCAATGGCTTTTCTTGGCGTTTGCAGTTTCGCTCCTCTTCACCGACGTGGTCTGTTGGGGAGAGTGAATTTACTGTAGCAGTGGGCCCCAGCATCTGGCCCCCCTGGTGTCTTCAGCATTTCCTGTGGTTTCCGAGGCAGAATTGTTGGCGGTCAGGCAGGGTGTGGGTTGGTGGCCCTGTGAATACTCCGTGCTCCTCGCTGCTGGCCTTCTGTCCATCTTTCTTCTACACCATGCCCCTCTTTATCAGAACTCTGCATTCGTTCGTTTCCTTGTATTTTCTTTACACATCATTTGGGCAATATAGTGAGATCCTATCTGCAAAATAAATACATATAAGCAAACAAAAGACTGAGATGTTTGCGAAAAACATGATGAGCCATGAAAAATCATGGTTCTGTACTCTATTTTCTTAAATCTTTTGTGTGTGTGTGTGTGTATGGTACTGGGATCGAACCCAGGTCCTTCACACTAACAGCTCCTTTTTTAGTTTTGTTTTGAGACAGAGTCTCATGATGTTTCCCAGGCTAGGCTCCAACTTGCAGTCCTCCTTCAGCCTCTCCAAGTGTGAGTGTGGGATTATAGATGTGAGCCACTGTGCCCGCCTCTCTATCCTTGTATAGTTTTTCTGACACAGTGGACCCTTGATACTCGCTAATTGGTTCCAGGAGGCACAAGGACTATCAAAAATGGTCCCAGACAAACCGTTTTGATTTGATAGTGAATCACAAGGAAATCGAGAGCGGCAAGTTCTAGCTTGTGCGCTTAATACCAAGGCGGATGAATTTCAAGGCAGTTGAGTACCAAGGTGCGACTGTAGTATTTTTAGAAAGCAAGTGGTTAAAGATACAAAGAGGTTCACAGTTATCCCGCTTGAATCTTTGACCTGTTTATGTGTGGAGGACCAGAGGAGAACTGAGGCCTAATTGGCCTCCTCTGTGAGCACAAAGGAGCAAGCTGCACTCAGGGGTGATGCATATTAGGGAGAAGTCAAGGCAGCTGAGGTTGAGTTGTTTACCAGAGAAAGTTCTAATGGACGTTGGAAACCAGGTGAATCTCTTGTTTTGCTGATTGCTTGTGCCTGTGTTTGGGTGAATAAAAGCGAGGTCTAGGCTCCTTAGCCTGCTGGAAGGAGGAGCCCCGGCTGCTGCTGATTCAGTGCCTCTTTGTCATTCATCCTTGTTCAGCCCCAGGTCAGGGAACAGGAAGTCGCAGGTCGAAGTCCTGGAGCGAGGGTGACCTAGAGAGTTGGCAACAGGTGACACCCCAGGGTGTGGCTCTGCCGGGGCTCACCTACTGGCAGCAGGCCTGAATGGGAACCGGCGACCAAGGTTGCCTACAGTTGTGTGTTTGGTACATATTATTATTGTGATGACATTCTTCTAGCACTGTTGTACTTGCATAGATTTTGGGGGCTGAGTATTAATACAGCCTTGGCTTTAATCAATATTTTTTCCATTCAGTAAAATGATTAAATCCATATATACTTAAAATGACTTAAGTACCAAAAAATGTATACATCAGGAAAAGAAAAACTTGTATAAATATTTTAGTACTAAATTTATTGAGACATTGTGAGATTAATACAAGTTACCTTTGGCCTCAGTTACAAGAGGTGCTCACAGTGATGGTTATTAACTTCTAGACATTTACTAGCACAGCGAACTGCTGAAGTGTGCATACATTTTTTGGTAGACTGTATATACATATATATGTATGTGTATGCATGAGTATATATATGAGGAAGTGACTGCAAACCTTTAGAATATTTTGATATTTTCTCATTCTACTGAAGTCCTGTGAAGTAGCCATGATTTGTGGAAACTTAGGTATGAACTGGAGGTCAAGGTGAACAGTGAGACACCAAGGTGAATTAGGGGAAGACCTTGAAATGGAACATGTGTGGCACATTCGTCAGCCTTTGCCACAAAATACTCTCCATTATCTCTTCCCACTTTTAAAAACCACTATTAGTAACAGTCCTGATTTATTTACCAAATTCCAGTTTGAGTGAGCATCCAGCAAGATTAGAGTCTTTGAATGAAAATACTTTTGTAGGGCCCGGGATTTAGCTCAGTGGTTCAATTTGGCTTTTTGAAGCCCTGGTATGTTTTCAAGCTGACCCCGGGTTCAGCGTTAATTTTCAGAATGGCCCTGCACATTACTTTGACATCACTCCTCTGTGGTGGTCTTTTCTCCTTGGGCCGCAGGGATGTGAGCTGTCCCTTTTCCACTGACCTACTGTTTCCTGAGATTGTAGGCTGAGAAAGCAGTAAGATCTGGACTTTTAGGGAAGAGTGTCAGGAAGCAGGAGTGCGAGGCCTGGGTGGTGGGCAGTGGCTCTGGCCTGTGGCTTCTGGCCCCTGGGAAAAGAGCTCCGTTTCCTCAGTGCAGAGCTGTGCGGTCAGGGACTGGCACCCAGGCACTTGCAGTGTGTAAGCTGCTCATGTGAACTCGCCTGCACTTTTCAGAGGGATCGCAGAGCATATACAATAAATGAGATGAATTCCTTGTGTATTTTGGGGGCCTCTAGGGCAGGAGCAGAGCGGACACCAAGGTGAATGAAATAGACCCTTTCACAAGAACTCTTGACAGAATTCTCCTCTGTTAACTCTGTTGTGAGGATGAATTTATCTGCTCAATGTCATTTGAATAGAATGCCTATGTTCTGTACATTCGTGGACTCAAAATTGTTCACTGATATGCTTTTAATATCCACTATTATTGAAATTAGCACGGGGGTGAAAGAATTTTAGATCCCACTTGCTGCAAATATATGTTGGTGTGACATTTCTTGGGAAAGTGCAGTTGGGCCTCCTTGTGGCATTTAATCCCTCAGATCACTCTGCTCTACCAAACCATCCTTTTCCCATCCCCATGAAACCATGCTTCCTTGCATTTATACCACTTCTTCTCAAATTGTTTTCACAGAAGAATTGGTAGAAACCTGCAATCTTCTTTCAGGTTTTGGTCCTGGTTTCAGCACACGCTCTATATTCAAATTAGCTTTCTTAATGCAACGCGTAGCCACCTCTGTTCCTAAACCCTGACATCTCCAGTTGTCTACATTTACTGGAGTCCCCTGTGCACCACACAGCTGTAGAGTTGCTGTGGGGACTGAATATGGGGTCCGGGAGAGGCTTACCCAGACCAAGTGCACCGTCTTCCGTTCTCGGCTTGGCTGTCCTTTCCTTGCCCTCTGCCCAGCCACCTAGCCACACGCCTAGACCTGATTTAAATAGGCCTCAATTCTGCATTTTCATAATTATGCATTTTGATTGTCTTTTCACTCCACTGCCTTTGTATTAGTCCAGCCCCTCATGACGTCTTCGTTATTGCACTAACGAGCTATGGGTGTTTACCCTCCCATTCCTTTCTCTGTGCCCCTTGAAACTTTTTCAGGATAAATGCAGATTAAGTGGCTTCGCATTAAACGGCAGGTGCGCACAGTCTTGAGGGTGGAGTTCCTGTGGCTTGGCTTGAAACTCAGTGCTTTTGGTCTTCATCTGTTAACCTCAGTCTCTGGAAACTTTCTCAGTAATAGTAACAGTAGCTAACATTTATTAAGCACAGGGAGTATTCTGAGCTGTTTGTCACCAATAAAGAAACACAGGACTGAGGGGTGGGTGGGTGCACAGGTGGGGACTGGCTGCTCACAGCCCTGGAGCAGATGGGGTAAGAACCTCAGGGTGTGACATGGGCCCCCCTCTGCAAACCCCTGGATAACCTGACTCCCTCACCTCTTCTTCGTCACCCGTGGGGATGTTTTCTGCGAGAAGCAAATGGAAGAGAGCCGTTGGCTTTCCTCTGAATAAGTTTCCTTTAAAAGTTAAAGTTCTCAAATTCTTGGTACTTGGCTAAATCCATTAGATGGCACTGGTATTTATCTTCCAAAAAATCTGCATTGAATTTTAGTGTGTAAAGCAGTCTGGGTTGGTAGAAATACTAAACTTGTACTCCTTTTTAAACTGTCAAATGTGGGGGAGACGATTGGCACACAATGAGTATTTATTCTGTGTTCACTTTTTAAAAATATTGCTAAACAGGTTAAAGTAATGAAGAGTTGATAAAAGAATTTTATTATTTAGTTACTTTTTGAATAAACCTGCCAGTTGATTAAAATGAGCCTAATTTAATCAGCATTGTGTCGCACACTGAAGATAATTTGGGCTAATGTCAAGGACACTGTTATCTCTCTTTTGTAGAAGGTATTGAAATAATGAGTATAATATATATACATAAAAAAAGAAGTTAGAAAATGTTTGAAGCTTTTTCATCTCTGCCCCGGGTGGATATTTAAAAATCGCACTCTTTCTTTTTTGCATGCAAATTAAACTGAAAGTCATTTTGTAATGTAACATTGGGCTTATGTTTTACAAAACAAATAGATTGAACTTTGATCTTTTGCTAATATTGGCTCCCAGTTGTCAGAATGAATACCAGCTTTTTTATTATGCATCATTCTAAATTGAACTTCCTTGTTCAGAACTTGGAACAAAACTAGCACCTTTTAGGCACCTTAATTTGATAATAAGTCACTGTTTAGTAGCAACTGCACTTCAGCTTTTTTCTCTTATGACACCCCTACCCCCCCCCCCCCACCCTTGTCCTGTTTGAATAGAGTCATCTGCATTCCTTTTTTCTTTTAAAGAGTTAAACTCTCATTTTTCTGATGTTGCTTTTAATCAGGAGCTGAGTGATCCTGGGGGTCGTCACTGGTTAATGGGATTCCTGACTCCCAGGTGAGTCCTCTGAGGAACTGGCAGGTTGCCTTGGGAGCAAGGCTGGCTCTTTGAGTTGGGAATACAGTATTCTCTCTTGTTGAAGGTCAGAGACAATGATCTGCTTGGCCTTGCCGGATCATCTCCAGGTCTAGCTGTGTGGCGACTTGGTGGGTGACATAGTGCAAATTGCTTAGCAACTTCCCAGTTCTGATTGATCCACCAGAGCCACAGCCAAGTGTTGTTTTTTGTTTTTCTAGTGCTCTTATTTTTAAACATAATTCACAAAATTTAGAACTAAGGAAGGAATCCTTCCAACTATTGTAGGCTGGAAAGTTTTCTATTACTGATTGCCAAAAAATAAAGCATTAGCTAGATACTTAGATTTGACTGGAAACTTTATTGATTTTTCTCTTAACGCATTCAGTGAACTAGGTGATGCATTGATTAGTGGAAGGATGTGAATGTCTGAGGTGTAGAAGATACTGTTACTTCCTGCAACAACAGGCGGACGTCTGTCCCCTGTGTTTTGGGGACATCTGATGCGAGCTCCAGCAGAGAGCTGGGATGCAGGTAGCAAGGCAGTGGTGGTAGTTTAAGTGGAGCTCTCACTTTGTTTCCACCCAGAGGCTTGGATCCTGCTGGTTGCAGGTGGAAGGAGGGTTGGAGGGTGACCTGGGGATATCTAGACAAGGTTTCCAGGACAGTTGTACATGCTTTCACTTTCAGTCTCACTTAGTTTAAAAGGTGAAAGGTATAAAGAGGGCTTTCCTAACTAAGGAGCTCAGCCTTGTTTTGGTAATCTTACCAAATAAAAGGAGAAGTCAGGTGAGCAAAAGATCAGGGTGTGGTCCTGCCTGGTGTTGATTGTAGTTGTGTTTCTGGAATGAGGGAGGCCTGGGTAGGGATTAGAGAGGATTTATGATGTGGAGAGGAACCTGGAGTTGAGGGTGGGGCAGTGATTCCTCTAGTTTAGGAAGAGAGTAGCAGTATACTTGCTTCTGAAAGTTTGGGTAGCATCGTGGTTGGTGCTGCAAGACTGGTACTGCGACTTTTAGTTAGAGCTCAGGGCAAGATATTGAGAGGCTATGTTCACACATGGGGATGGGGGTGTGTGCATACACCTGTGGTTTTTGGCTCCTTTCATTCAACCTTATTTCTTCTATGATGTTGGACTTTTCTCTGATACAATTTTAAAGGTGAAATCCTTGATCCCCAGATTGGCATTTATTGAGGAAGTGACTCATGCAGGATTCTCCTACTTAGGATTTACCATGGCAGCTATTCCTGAATACATATGTTCCCCGTATGAACTGTCAAGCCAGATTGTCCACAGGCTAAAACATAGCATGCTGTTGTGTTCTACTTACGTGCATTACTCACTGTTAGGTAGATAAATGTTAAGAGTCGAAGGGTGTGAGGACCTTGTAGACGAGGGACCTCATAGATGATGGAGAGTAGCCTCCAAAATCTGAAAAAATCAGCCGGGCTTGAGGCACAGTGTTGTCCCATCTCATGGTAGAATTAAGGCAGAGAATGCCAGGGCTTTGCTATTCTTAGCTTAGTCAGAAGGAGAAGTAACTAGCCTTTAGCGAGCTCATGGTATTTTTCAGTTCTTCACTATGCTTTGGGTCTGTTTTTTTTCATCAGCCAAAACATACTTAATTCTTAACATGCTGATGAAGCACAGAATTAATCTTGCATGTATAACATTTAAAGTTTTCCAGTGACAAACTTGAGGTTCTCCTGTAGTGACTCTGGTTTTATTGGTGTAGCATGTATTCCTATTACAAAACTTCGTTGGCCCAAATATATTCTTTTACAATTGTTTTGCTTACTCATCCAGTAAAACATTAACTGTATTTAAATGAGTTTTTAATGAACCATGATAGCAAGTAAGGCTCAGAATGATTAAGGATTTGGTATTGTGTCTCTGTCATTAAAGTAAGTTTAGTCATCAGAAAGCTTACAAATTGATTTTATAGTTCCTTTTTCTCCATGTCTACCTAATAATTAGTTACTGTATCATTACATTTCCTTCTGGGGTTATTTCTCAGTCTTACCATGGTCTCCTTGAGAGAAAGATGTATGTGTTCCTGATAAAAAAATCACGATTAATGCCATCTCCTCCGATTTGGAGAATTTCTGTATGCTATTAACCAATTTCAGAATTACTTTGCCTCTATCCTTCTGAGTGCTCTTGGCTTTCTGCTGTCACTTAAGGAGTGGTATGATGTAGTTGTAATCTCACAGAGAGGGACAGATGGGGCAGTGACACGCATGATGTCGGGGGCCATTGTACCTGACAAGTGGGTCAGCTGCTCACAGCTATGTTCATTTGCATATTTTCTTTGTGGTTTGTGCTTCACATATCCAAGGCTATTAGTTGAACATAACTCTCAAACCGGGAATCTAATTAGTCTAAAGGTTTGGTGGGTGATAGAGTGTATTCCCCTGAGGAATGGCAGAATTGAGTCTCGGCTCTGAAATGTAACCACCGGGATGGAGGAGTGTCCTGGCTGGATGGATATCTTTCACTGTAATTTCCAGATGGAGCAGAAGATCTCAGGCATCTGCCATGGGGAGATGCCACCTTCTTACTGGATGCCTTTAGTTCCTGTGGGACAAGTGACCTCTGACCTCTGACAGGTAGTCATGGTGGTGGTTCCCCAAGTCCAGGTAGGAGTGGAAATGTCTTGCCCTTTCCTAGATGATGTGTTGTTTGAAATGGCAATAATTAAAGATTTATCTCAGCTGGTGGCACACACCTGGAATCCCAGGATTTGGAAGGCTGAGGCAGGAGAATTGCCATGAGTTCAAGGGCAGCCTGAACTATAAAAGTGACACCCTGTGTCAAAAAACAAATGAACAAACAAAAAAGATTTATCAGATTTCTTTTCCTGTGTTTGGTAACACACTGCTAATTTACATAAACACGTTATTGCCTAGTTAGTTTTCCTTTAGTGCTACACGTGATGAAGAGTGCTTTTATGGGAGACAGTTGTAAATGAAAATATTTTTAAAATAAGGGATGAGTAAAGGGAGCCCCCAGATACTTGATGAAATTTACCTTTTTTGATACTTTCCACAAAATTTTCAAGGTGCTTCCATGGTACAATCCTCATCATAGGAATTCATAGATTAACCTCTGGGAAGGAAAAGTGACTGTTGGATAATCAGTAATCCAGAGTTATGTTACCGGAGCGCCTCACCACAAGTGTAAAACACAGGTATGTCCAGGTGCTTGGTCTTTACTGTTAAGTTTTGGAAAACTGGATGCAGTTTACCGAGTGCTCACAGTGCTGCTGGGCTTACTTCCCGTTGCACTTACTCTTGTAGGCAGACCTGCCCATGACTCTTCCTGCCGCTGCTCAGAGATGAGCTCCCAGCTCTGCTTGCTGTTGACCCCGTCGATTCTGTAGAATCGTGCCGCTGGCGTCCTCTCGTCTTCACATGAGCGCGGGCTTTGGAGGCCGTTCCCAGTTTTAGTTTTCCCCGTGGTTTGGGTCTTCCCCGGGTGAAAACTGTATGCCTTTCTAAAGAATTATGCCTCCATTTCAGAGTCAAGTAATTCCATATATGAATATCAAATATCCCGGGAACATTCCTGCGACCTGTCATGGTCAGCTTCCCGAGGATGTGTTTAGCCTGTTGCTGAAGAAAACAGACATGGAGAGAGCTCTCTCAAGAGAGGTGGCCATAAAGTGCATTCTGCATGTGTGTGGATGCTGAACCTTGAGCAGTGATGGCAAACCTTTAGAGCTTTCAATGTTAAT